AATTACTAAATATATAAATAAAATGAGTTAAAAATAAAAAATATTATCTTTTATTATTCAATTTGAATTAAAAAGAAGAAATTGTTTCCGTGCAGTTCAGAATGAATATAGTGCGTGACGTAGTTGAAGGGCGTGTCTGGTTTGGATGTTGCATGACTCGGTTTCTTTGAACTAATCCCGTGGGTCAAAGAAATTTTTTTGGTAAACTTTGCTGTCAACTTTTGAATTGGTAATGAAAAGTTAACCAAATTAGGGATAGGAAGGGGACCCCTTTCCATCCTAGTCATTGGCAGATATACAGATCTCTGTGGGGGGAACGAAGAGTCCTTGTGAAAATTCTTCATATCTATTAAAGGTATAAAAAATAATTTTTTTAAATTATATATAAAAATAAATTAATTCATTTAATTTTTTAAGGGTGGTGCTATAAAAATAACTTTTTTATATCATATTTTAATTTAATTTTCATATATCATTAAATGAATAGATATATTTAATATTACAGATCTCACATGAATTAAAAGAACTAATCATTTAAATGACATGTCAAGTTATACAAAAATATTATATAAAATCATTTTTCAATTTTTAACTTAAAAAATAGTTATTTTTAAATATATTTTTAGAAAATGAATCAAATCAAAGTAGCTTTGCCGAAAATATAAATTCATAAAATAAGTCAAATTCAAATTAAAAGAAACTTATTAAATAAAGGGATGTAGTTGAGAGGAATTAAAGTATTAAAGAGGAGAGATGAGAAAATTAAAGCGTTTGTGATTAAAATTAAGGATTTAAAAATTAAGAACTTTAAAATCTAGGTTAACCAGCGATGTCTGGAAGCTCTCAACCAAGCATGGCTCGAGTCCTCACTAATAGCACAAGGATGGCTCGAGGCTTGACAAATGATGATTCCTGCCCATGTTGCCAGCATGGTAGGGAGGAAATTGTTTCCGAGATTGTGAAGGCTCGAGAAGACTATGGAGGAAATGGATTGGCGATAATCTTTGGCAACGTTGGCAGCAAATGAACCATGCTGAGTGGATTAATCATAACCTGTCTAGGACAAATGTCAAGATTGAACAAGGCTTACCATGGGACCTTGCCTTTGTTGCCATCTGCTGGTTCATATGGCTAGCTCGTAATAAAGCAATGTTTGAAGGTGATAGAGAATGGATAGTTGCAAAGGAGGCAATGCTAAGATTTCATCTAGTAGAAGCTAGATATATTTTGAATAGAAATCCACCCATTGGAACTTTACGGTATGATGAACTGCTTGTTAGGTGGGAAAAACCTCCTCCAGGGTATGTGAAGATCAATGTGGATGGCATAGCTAGAGGGACATCGAGAGCTTCTGCAACAAGTAGTGTGTGCGGGGACTCTAATGGGGACTGGTGTTTTGGATTTACACAACAATTGGGTATGGGCATCACTATACGTGTGGACTTATATGCTTCATGGAAAGGTGTGCAATTGGCCTGGGAAAAAGGATACAAGAAAGTAATCATTGAAGCAGATTCTTTACTAGCCAAACAAAAATTGGAGCAACATGGTGGCGCAACTAACTTGCTCTTAGTGCTTTGTAGGGGGTGCATTGAGCTGTTGAACCGTAACTCAGATTGCGAGTTAAGACATGTTTTTCGTGAAGCAAACTCATGTGTAGACGTTATGGCTTCATCTTTCTATCATTTGGAGCCAGGATTGCACTTCTTTGAGGAACCCTCAGATGGAGTTAGGACTACACTTAGAGAGGATTTATTAGGAATGTGTAAGCCTAGAGCTTCTCGATTATTTAGTACTTAAAACATTGTCCAATGTATATAAAAAAAAAAAAGATATTTAGATTTATTATAATTTATAAAATAAAATTTATAATTTTTTATTAATTTATAGCTCTCCACAAAAATCCACCAAACAAAAAAATTTCTCACAAAATTTTACAAAAAAAATTTATCTCCATCCCCATCCTATAAAAAGGAATGTTTTGAAAATCTCTACTCCACAATTGAAATCTTCACAAAGCTCCAGCAGTCATGAAGGAAATTATCATCCGTAAACTAATTGAAAAGGTCATTTAAAACAAAATCTTTATGTATGAGTCATAATGCTCTCTTTTCGGAAAAAAAAAAAAAAAACTACAGAGTTATATTGCCTTTAAAAATAGGTCATGTTTTTATTAGTTAGCTGTTAGTGTTCCTTAGTAAAATACAGGAGAAGGAATTCAAAATAAAATACTAAGTTTCTAAAATTTTGAATTATTCGTCAAAAAGAATTTATGAATAATTGATTCGAAAATAAAATTGTATTTTTCTTTTAATTTTAGGTTTCAAAAGGAAAATAATTCTCTTCTATTTCTTTACCCAACCTATTTATCTACTTACAAATCAAAGTCAAGACTTTTTGCTTTTATTACAAAAATAATTTCTTTCATTAAAATAATACATGAGGCTGCTTAGATAATAAACGTATTTTGTTAGTGTATTTTGATGATAAACAAATGTTTTGGGGAGAACGTGTAGAGAGTTACCGCCATAAAACAGGGCGGTCAGTAAGAGTAACTAAGAAAGGCAAACTGGTGCATTTACCCTACACTAATTGATAGTCTAAAAACAAAGTATATTTATACTGACAACCTGTTAATTCGAATGTAATGAACTTAATTTCCCTTAAATAAAGTTTTAAGGTCAAGTTTTGTGAATTAGAAAATAAGTGCTGTAAGAACTTTCTGTTTATGAAATTCGACGTGACTCAATTACGAATTAAGTGAGATTAAATGTAATTATCAAATATCGAAAAGTTAATAATAATAAAAATAAAAAACAAACATACCTCTGAATTTCCATTATGGAACAAATTCCCTCCTGCCCCACAATATAAAGACACAAGAAAAGTTTGTAGTTCTAATGCATTTCAGTCAACCACACATGCAAATATTATTAATTGTACATTTGGGTTGAGGGGAATGCAAGGAAGGAAAATGGAAAGATACAATTCTCCTTTCCTATTATTTAGATAAGTAAATAAATTAAAAGAAAAAATAAAATAAAGAAAAAATTTCCCCTCCCTTTAGTTCTTTTAATAATTAAATAGAGAAAATTTTTTCCCTCCCTTATCCTCCATTCCTCTTAACACAAACATACTGTTAAGAAAAGAAAGTCAGGTATATGAAATGTACTAGAATCACTTATTTTCAATCTCTTTATTACAATGTATTACCTCCTCTTTTGGCAATAGTTTGGTAGACAATTGGCCAAACCTTGATTGCCCCCCTAAATACAGCAAACCTGCAACTCTAGCATTAATAATTGCATTTATTCAGCTCATGTAAATGGTGTCAATGGTGAGAAATTATGAAAAATCGAAGCATTGAATTTCTAAAGATATTAGATGGGTTCAAATCCAAATATCAGCATTTTGATATAATTTTTAAGGATTCCTAATTCTAATTTACGCAATTCACAATCTAACTCTAGTCTGCAATAATATTAAACATCACTAAGCATGCAATAATACCACAGAGTTGAGAGTCAATAATGGTAAGTTCACCACCTATAGGCAAAAAAATATGTGAGATATTCATTAGAGAACATTCATGATTAAGCGACCGGTTACCTAGCTACATAAAAAATCCTTCCAAAAAATTAAGCCAACAGGAAACAAGGAGATGGGACATCCAAAAACCAAAGGAGTGTACATAAATGGGAGAAACCCACAGGTAAGATGCAAATCACTTCTTGCCCTGTGGTAACCAGTCCCTTGTGATATACAAAGTACAGAATTCAAAGCCAAGTAATCCCCTCCCACATACTATCTCTTTGCCAAAGGAGGGAAAATTACTTAATCGTTTGGGATGAGGTTAGTTGAAATTCTACTAAACGTATGAAAAGTTATCTACTGAAGGTAGTGAAAAGTGTGATGGGGACAGAAGCAAATAAACCAGAAAAAGTGTATGTCCCTCTGACAGCCCCAGTCATTGCAAGCAGCTCAACACTTAAGGGAAGATGCCGAATGCTGGGCATATGAATGTCTCATGCAAAGATTTTATTTAGCTTGGGCAACATGATATGATAAAATGAAAAACAGCAGAAAGCACATGAATGTTCACAATTCAAATTCAAATTGAAAAAAGAAAACAGCTCATTCACAAAGTTTTAGCACAACAGCAAGTACTTGGTTTAGGTCCAAAAATGGTCCATCTGTTCCATGGAGAAAGAAGCATATAACTCTATGTGTGATCTTTCTCTCTAACAATGAAAAGAATCCAAATGAACACATAACTACGTGAAATGATTTTTATGTGCTTGTCTGATAACTATTGTCTTTGCTTCTGATAGTGAATTGTTTCCCCACATGAGAAGATCTTTCAGAAGCAGAAGTCCATTAATTTTTATACCAGTCACTTATTCCAGGCCTTCCAGCAGGTTTTAAACATTGCAATAAAAACATGGCAAATATTTCCTAGTGGAAGTTGCACAATTTAATAAGTGGTCAAGTGAAGATAAACTGGCAAAAGGAAAGTAATAACAGGTTTCAGACGCTTCCATATGGTTCAGAGAAAGGGAAAATTCAAATGGGTGTCATGACATCGAGTGGATAATGTAAGAAGAAGAAGTGTCAGAATCACCCTGCTCCATTGCCTTGGTATCTTAGCATTAAAAATTGAAATTGTCTATGAAAACTCAGCATTAATGCCAGAAAGAAGGCAAGCCATCATAATCATCCCATCCAACTTTCGTTTCCTAGCAACAATGGCAGCACTAGCACCAGCAGCAGCAGCTCCTCCAGCGCCAGCAATCACAGAATTTTTCTGAAGACAAAAACCTTAACTGCTTAGAAGTCAGAAGTTTATTGAGCTATTTCTATGTTACATTATTCAAGAATTAAATAAGTTAAAGACAGCTCAGTTTTCCACGGTCTCTATACCATCAGATGAACATACTCCTATGCATGACAAGTTATATCCTGACATTTATGGCTTCTATGTTTGCAACAATTCATGATTTGGAAAACTATGGACCAGTATAAATTACTCTATCATTTGGGAGACATAAATAATTAGCATTGTTCAAGCATCCTTTTGACAACCAAGAAAATTATCAATCTTAAACTGTCTTTCAATCAGTAAAAAAAAAAAATTCTTTTATTGCCATAGAAACATTATGATTTCCTTCCCATCCCCCCCTCATAGATTCCCTCCTTCCAAAAAGGAAGACATAAGATAAGGCACCATACAAACAAGCATAAGCTTTCTAATTTTCTTCTCCAGGGACCATTGAGGGCGAACTGCCGAAGATGAGGAAAAGTAAACAAGAAACCAAGGTCAGAAAGTTTGTAAACTAACCCAATCTTTCTGCCCAAGATGTCGCTCAATCCAACAATAAGTCATTTGAAAGACACCAGCAACAACTCCTGAAGATTAAAAGGGTAAAAGGACTACAAATAAATAAGGTGAAAAATAAGTTAAAACAAAGTATCAATTAGACTCTTCATGAGATACAAGATATATTCTAAAAGAAATCCCAAGAGCAGAAATCAAAACCATTCATTCTAATTCAGCAATTGCAATAAAAAAGAAAACTTTACTTAACCCAAGATTGACTTTAAGGTTTGCTTGATCTTAATAATCAGAATGCATATGAATCAGGGAAAAAAAAAGCTAATTACCGCACTGAAAACTGCATTTGGCAGCAGAGGTTGCCTGCAAATCAAATCAACAAAATGCCAACAACAATAAAATTGATTAAACCTCTGCAACAGGTAAGCAGCTAACTTCCAATGAGCCAAAACAATCCCCCTAAAAAAAGAAAAATCCTGAAAATTTTATACCAGAAGGGAAGCTTTAGTAATTCCATTTAGACCTGTCCACCAAAGAAAATCCGAGATGGAAATGTTAATAAAATAAGACGCAATTTTATCATGAAGAAGTTTGGACTTTGGAGAGAAGTATTGCCTTTTTTATGAGCAATGACAGAAGATTCGCCCAGTCCCCAGATTGCACCTACCTGAAACAAAAATACAACTCACTGTGCTGTTCACTGTAAATAGCTTCTGCATTTAAGGAGGAGGAGGAGGAGGAGGAGGAGGAGATCTGAGTAATAATAAAATTCTAGACAAATAGTTGGATATGTACCGTTCCGATTCGAAGCGCCGACGTGACGGCGAGAGAAGGACATGGAACCACCTCCTCCATTTTTCACCTTTTGCTCGGCATCGCGGGGACGGTGGAGCGCCTAATAAGACCTCTTTTCTCCGGCTGAGGGTATGAAAACCAACATGTACTGTAATTTTATGGATTTGTAATTTTTTTAAAATATTTAGCTATAATATTTTAAGAAAATT